CGGAGAAAGAGTGAAAGAGAAAGAGAGGATGGAGAAAGAAAACGTCGAAGAAAAGGAGACAGTGGGAAGGCAGGTGGACAGACACAGAAAAAGACAGACAATCAGACAGACACAGAAAAAGACAGACAATCAGACAGACACAGAAAAAGACAGACAATCAGACAGACATAGAAAAAGACAGACACCAGACAGACATAGAAAAAGACAGACTATCAGACAGACATAGAAAAAGACAGACAATCGGACAGACATACAAAAAAACAGACAATCAGACAGGCATATAAAAAGACAGACAATCAGAAGAAGAGGACTCTTTGCATTGTGTGTAATCTTGCAAAGCTATTCAAACTCAAGTTTTTGCTTGGGTCCGTTTCAGGAAGAACGACTGAATAAGCTGAAAGATTCGGTGAGTATAAAATAATTAGCTGGGTGTAAATAATTTACGGCGTTCGCAACTGCATGAGGTCATATTATATGAGCGCGCGGGACTCATCAAATTATATTTTCAGTTGGTAGGCAAGTTTAAATTTTGCCCGGGCAGCTTATAGATTTTGGACCACCAAGTGATCTTTAACGTGCGCCACTTGCACACAGGACCTCCAAGATTTTTCGCCCTTTTCACAGAAGGCTAGGTGTAGATCTTTCCTACCAGAAGATCAGGGGTGTGGCTGAAAGACAGTAGTAAGAAGGAACCAAGGAGAAGACGTAGAAAGACTGCAGAAAGAGTGAGGAGCCCGGAGTAGGGGGGAAAGGAAGTGAGGGGGTGAGGGCAGAAAGTGGAGACGAAAGCAGACGACAGAACATTGCTAGAGAGCAGGAAATAAGGTGAAAGAAGAAACTTTTAGAGAGAATAGTATCCGCTGCTACCCGGATTCGAACCCACAACCTATTGAACGAGAGGCAAACACCTTAACCTCTAGACCACGAGAACCCCGGAAGATGTGTGTAATGGTGAGCTATGTGTTGCATCCGGAACAGAGCGGTTTCTCTCACGGCAGGAGGTATTACAAATATTTGGTCGCTTTTAAGCACATGGGGGCTATCCCAAAAAATGCTGTTTTGAGAAAATGAAGGTAAACTGAAATTTGAACATTTTTAAAGCCTTTAATCAACGCATTTCAGTAAAAATCCACGCAGAAATGTGTCCATTAATGGGCATGAAAGGTGTTGAGCCCAAAAAAATAATTCTATAAACCTGCAGAAAAAATGTCAATTTCTTCATTTCGATTTTGACGAGAGCCAAATTTCACCACAGCGCCTTACATTTATGTGTCAGGGAAAGAGACCAGCGTAGGCAGCTCACTAACAAAAAACAAACAAACAAGCAACAAACCAAACAATAAATCAAAAGAGACAAACACAGTTCTCAGACACTTTTTTGAACCGACACGTAGGTGTCTTTCTGTGTGTGTGTGTGTGTGTGTGTGTGTGTGTGTGTGTGTGTGTGTGTGTAAGTGTGTGTGTGTGTGTGTGTTTTGTGTGTAAGTGTGTGTGTGTGTGTGTGTTTGTGTGTGTGTGTGTGTGTATGTGTGTGTATGTGTTTGTGTGTGTTTGTGTGTTGTGCATGGTGTTTGCGT